TTCTTCCCCCTCCCCCGCCACCTTGACTCCTCCCTCTTCCTTCCTTTCCACCTGTAGCACGCGGCGACAGGCTCTCTGGGGCTGAGTTTAGGGTGATGGTGGCTGGGTCTGCAGCCGACTGGGCGGCCTCCCCTGACTTCCACGGAGCCTCTTCCCTGGCCAGTGCTCCAAGAATCTGGGAGATCCCTTTCTCCATGCATCTGTGCCTGCAGGGGTTCATGACAACAGCCAGCATTTATTGAGCACCTACTACATGTACTAAATGAGTTACATGATCCAACTTCACGGGCTCATTTTATCCCCCCCCCTTTTTTTTTTAATCAGATGGGGCTTATAGACGTTACCGAAAATGGTCCATAGGAAATATAAGCCCCAGGCTGAATGCCTGGTTCCTTGGGGGTGTGTGGGGGGGTGTCCCATCTCCTCTTCCCCTTCTCAGGATAAAACTAGGGATCATCTCTAGTCTCAATCAAGGCTGTGCCTGAGAACGGGCAGTTCCCCCCAAAGACACCTCCAGAGACCCTTTTCTCTGTCTCCTCCTCGACCCACGTGTGTGCAAACACACACACACACACACACACACACACACAGCCTCGCCGGGTGCTGTAACCGATGTGTGTGTTTGTCACCGTGACTGTCAGTAGGATCCGCCAAACACCAGGAATATGATTAAGATATGAACCAGCAGAAGCCGGCGAAGCCGCTCCCGTAGGAGCTGACCCGGGTCTTGCTCCAGTGCAGCCCACAGGCTGTCACCCAGGAAAAGCCCCCCGCCCCGCGCGCGCCCCGGGGAACAGAGGCTGAGCGTGTTTCTGGCCGCAGCTTGTAAGGCTGGAAGATCTCTGCCTCCCTCCCTGCAGCGATCGCAGTGGGCCCCTCTGACTTCTCTGTCTTCTCTCTGCAGTCAGCTGAAGGAGTCCGACAAAGACAGGAGGCTCTCGGTAGAGATCTGGGACTGGGATCTGACCAGCCGCAATGACTTCATGGGGTCCTTGTCCTTCGGGATCTCTGAACTGCAGAAAGCTGGCGTCGATGGCTGGTAAGAAGGGTTTGGCTCTGAACATCACGGGAGACTCCAGCCCCGCAAAGGTGCCATCGCAGAGGGTTTCCTTTGTTGTCCTGAAGGCGCAGTGGCGCGCGCCTGTCATCTCAGCCTCTCGGGAGGCTGAGGCAGGAGGATCGCATGTTCAAAGCCAGCCTCGGCAGTTTAGTGAGGCCCCAAGCAACTCAGTGAGACCCTGTCTCTAAATAAACTCCAACACAGGGCTGCGGATGTGGCTCAGTGGTTAAGCACCCACGGGTTCAATCCCTGGTACCAAAAACAAACAAACAAACAAACAAACAAAAAAACAAAAAAGTGCAACATAAAATCAGAGGCCCCAAGTGAGGCTGGTCGCTTAGATCAGCCTCACAAATATGTCTTGTTTGGTCCTCATCTTAAGAAAGGATCAGTAGCCAGTATTTTTTAAAAAATATGGGGCTACAGGGCAGTCCTTAGAGTAGTGGAACAGCCAGTGCACCCTTTAGATAAGGCGCGGGTTTCTCTTGGCCACAGACCTCACCACTCCCTATTGTATCACACCTGCCCCTCTTGATGCTGTTACATGACTCAACCAGACCCAGGGGCTCTGAGCACGCGGGAGCTGCGTTGTCACTGACTGTCCTTACCCCATCTGGCCATGACCCGCTGCAGTGTGTCCTTTTCTCTGGAATTTTTTGCTTTGTTCTCTTTTTTATGTTAAAAAAAAAAATCCTTATTCAGTATTTCCATGAGAGGAGCTGGGTCCACCCTGGGCCCCTCCCAGCTATCTGGTCCTACCAGTCCCAATCCAGAGCCCAACCTTGCACCGTCACCGTCATTTCTATGAGATGAATTGTCCCACTTCGGACCCGTCTCCCCTGGGACTTTGTCGGTTCCAAGTGAAAGAAAATGAAAAGCGTCCAGCGTTGGGAGCAGGACTGCGCCCCTGCTGGCCCTCGGCCCCCGTCCCTGGCCTCCTTCAGCTCACGGCCTCCTTGACCCTGATCCATTTGTATCACGGGCTTCCATTCAAGTGGCCCGAGTGTCTCCCAGGTGCTGGTTGCTAAGGGTGCTTCAAGGGGACAAGCGGCGGAGTCCACAGAGGTCCCGAGAAACTGGGATTTGGATAATCTGCAGCAAAGGGAAGGCCGAAGTCACCTAAGTCACAGAGAAAGCTGTCTCACCCGCAGGGACCATCGGGAGCTCAGTTACCAGGCTGGGGGGGGGCGCGGGGGATGGTCCCACCTGTTTTTGTCAAGTTAACATCTCTCTCTGCAGAGGAGCGGGGCCATCTGGACCCGACTCGGTTGTGAATAATAAGTTAAACAAAGTGATATTACAGCGAGGAAGGAGGTACCTAATTAGAAAGTGCTTTCGCATGACATTCAAAGGTCACACGACCATCTTTTTTTTTTTTTCCTCTCCCAAGTTTCGGATTTTTTTTTTTTTTTTAACTCACATGTGGGTGACTTGACTCTGCCGAGTTCCACTTTTGCTGACTCACCCGAGGTCATGGGGTGGCTGTTCCTGAGCCAGGGACCCCCGAGGTAGGACCGGTCCCACCTGGCTTTGGAGCATCAGGCTGGATCCGTGGTGGAGCCCAGGACTGGCCTGTGGACTCCCAGTGTGAGGTCCCTTCACACTGTGCCCCTGGGTCTCAGCCCCAGGTCATCGCCAGGCCCCATTATTTTGTTGGGGGGGGGCACCAGGGATGGAACTCAGGGGCACTCGACCACTGAGCCCCATCCCTGGCCCTATTTTGTATTTTGTTTAGAGACAGGGTCTCACTGAGTTGCTCAGAGCCTCACCATTGCTGAGGCTGGCTGTGAACTCGCGATCCTCCTGCCTCGGCCTCCCCAGCCGCTGGGATGACAGGTGTGCCCCAGGGCGCCCGGCACCAGGCCCAATTTGTCAGCCCTTCTGGGACCCCTCATTCCCGTGTGTCCTTCATGGAGGGTTGGGGGCGCTGCCCCAGAGACCTGCATCTCTCCCTTCCTGGCCTGCTGCTACCATGACTTTGTGGGGTAGGACCGTGGCCGGGAGCTGGGCTCCACTCTTTGGTCACTACCTCCTCGCTGTTCTCCTTCCCTGGTCCCCCAGTTCCAGAATATGTACCCCTCGGCCTCTGAGCGCGGCCAGGAATCAAGAAAGCAATTTAAAATAATAATCGTTCACTTTGAAGCCACGGTCGACTTGGAGCGGTTTTGCTGCGGGAACCTTCACACGCTGCACATTTAGTTGAGCAAACAAAAGGAAGACATAAAGGACATTATAACAAGGTGGCATGATTACGCAAAGACTGCAGGGACGGGGAGGGGAAATAAATGGCCTAATGACAGGGGCCAGCGCCCCAGGGACAGCTCCAGAGCTTAACACATGGACACTTAGGTCCTCCGTTCATTCTCCCAAAGATTCCAGGGAGCAAGTCATTCCCCAAAATCAGAGTGGTTAGGGACACCAAGCTCCTAAGGGACAGTGATGGAGTTTGGCTCTGTGATGCTGCAGCCTATGTCTGTGTGACTCCTATTCCGTCTCCTGACACAGAGGTAGGCAGAGGGCGGGGGGTAGACAGCCAGGGGTTGACCTTGGCTCTCTTAACTGGATGGATGCTTTGTGACCTCGGGCAAGTCACCTCCCCTCTCTGTGCTACAGCCGTCTCAGCAGGAATTTACTCGTCAGATTGATCATAAGGCTCCCTCTGCACCCCGTAGGATGGTTGTCAAGTTGATGAAATAATCGGGAAGAAACTGTGACAAAATAAATGCCCTCTTCCAGATTTTGCTGATTAAAAAAAAAAATAAAGTCCTCTTTAGAGTTAGTGCCGAGGACTCTGCGATGCTGCCTCGGCTCTAAAGGTCCTAGAGTTCTTTGAACTCTGTGTGATCTTGGGTAAGACACAGGCCCTCTCTGAGACTCTGTTTCCCCACCTGGAAGGGAAGGGGCTCCTCTGTTTTGTTGTGTGATATTGTCACCTGTCACATATTGCGGGTTTGCTCCACAAGGGCATTGGACTTCCAAGATTAGGATGGAGCTCAAACGTTCCTGTTTCCCGGGATCTCAGCCGCCTGCAGGGCGGGGACATGCTCTGTTGATGCGTAGCCGGGAGCCATGGGCTAGACCCAGTGGCCCAGGAGTGCCGCAGGCTAGACCGTCTGGGTTTGGGTGCGTGCCCTCTACGATGCCCAGGGAGGTCTAATGACCCATTCCTCAGGACCTCGGGACGCGTCCTGGTGGTTAAGTCAGACAGGACTATAAAATGGCAATAACAGCAGAAGCAGCTAAGGCTGCTCTCTGGGGTGGTGCCCTGCCCCAGGCCCCTCCTCTGCCCCAGTCTCCGCCTTTTCCCCAGTCCCTCCCCTGCCCCAGTCCCTCCTCCTCTGCCCCAGTCCCTCC